AACAAAAACGTAACGGTCAGCGCAAGATGGTCACGACAAGTATGCTTTCCTATCTAAATACCAGCTGGCGATTGGGGGTGTTATAGACACTTTTAAGGATCACTGTGTAGGGCTGGGTACGCTTCGATTCTATCGTCGTTTGCCGCGCAACAAACGCGCAACTATCGCGCGGCACATTAGATTGTCGTATCGAGTGCTATGCTTCGGTTGGAATTACTTCCCGCGCGCGGATACTCGAATGCAACTAGGCCATTGAGAAGTGAACGGTACCTGCTTGTAAACAAAACAAAATGGAAGTAGGTTACGGCGTGTAGAGTTCTTTCTCCATGTCTTGAATAGAGATATAAAAAAGGAAGCAGTAAGATGACACTTTGAAGAAGATTCCCCACTAGAACCGTGCAGGACCCCTGCAGCATTGAACTTGTACTCAAATGTCCGCGCGCGGGAAAATAATCCAAACGCCTATACTGTTGAGACATGACCATCTCGAGATCGTAATGGCTAACCGCTTGTGACATGTCCAGCGTGACCTAGTCATCGATGATAGAATCGGACGCCCCCATGAAGAACTAACAATGAATAGGAAGAAATAATTACAAAATTAGGAACTCGGAATAATGTTGTGATATGTACTATAAATAAAATCTCCGGGAACCGATTGTTATTTTGTGGGAGGAACCCGTTGTTTGCATTGATAAGGAGGTAGCTCACGGGTGGGCTTCTTTCCGCGCGTCCGTCGAAATTAGATAACACCACAGCCGTCCATGCGGCGGGCCAGCCGGCGATTCTTGACGGATGTGGTAGTTGTCAGTGGGGCATACGGTTCGCGCTTGGGTCAGCTTGAAGAGAGGATAACACGGATTAGTGCAAATCATTCGCTCCACTGACACGTGGTGGTGACATCTCGAGACCTCAGTGCGTGCGCCGCGCGCGAAGTGCGCGGGCCGACCTAATTTCGACGGAAGCGCGGAACGAACGTCCCCCGTGGCCCACACACTCCCTAGTCCTTGTGAGTATAGACATCCACTAATTCCCTGAATTTGATGTTTCGCACCGTTGAAGGTGGTTGTCAGAGCCAAAACAGTCGGACTAACCCTTTTCCTGTACCACTCGGTCCGCTATCCAAACCCCTTCTTCACAGTGGCCAGACCGCATTCGTATATGTAACAGTAGTATATACTAGGTAAAATAGTTCGAAAAGAGCCGCAAAGGGAACAGGAAAAAACGCGTGCTGCGACGCGCGCGCTCCGTCGGTTGCGTCGTTGAAATCTTAAAGCGCTCATACACCCACGTAGGGACGTATAATGGGAAACGTCGGGTGCCGGAACTTCTTCCCGAATTCCCACGGCAAGCGGCAAAAGTCACGCAGCGCCTACCCTATCCTTGCAATGGAAATTCAATCACTTCCCTTCGAGCGCGCGATCGGGGCGGCGAACGCGACGCCGTTTTCGGGGATAATATACTGGAGCCGGGTAACGTCCCACAAATGTGAGTGCCATTT